TTTCAAGACGCCAAAACTGGGAAAAAAAAACGCATCCCCCAAATGATCGATTTCTAATTAAAATGTAATTAAAAAATGCTGTTTTTGGGAGCTCAGAAAGGCTACCCCCCTTGAGCGGTGTCCCCCCCACAAATAAAAGGACGCCCCCCCCCAATTAGTAAACCCCAGCCAGCCGCGATGATTTTTTTTGTATGCGTGCTTCAGATTGCAATCAATTAAGCAATGAATTGATTCAACAACTACATCAACATTGCCTGATCTTTCCTCATCCACCTCGCAAGTATAATATACTTTTGCAATGTGCCAGTTTCAAGACGCCAAAACTGGAAAAAAAAACGCATCCCCCAAATGATCGATTTCTAATTAAAATTTAATTAAAAAATGCTGTTTTTGGGAGCTCAGAAAGGCTACCCCCCTTGAGCGGTGTCCCCCCCACAAATAAAAGGAGGCCCCCCCCCAATTAGTAAACCCCAGCCAGCCGCGATGACTTTTTTATATGCGTGCTTCAGATTGCAATCAATTAAGCAATGAATTGATTCAACAACTACATCAACATTGCCTGATCTTTCCTCATCCACCTCGCAAATATATTTTTGCAATGTGGCTTTCAAGACGCCAAAACTGGAAAAAAAAAACGCATCCCCCAAATGATCGATTTCTAATTAGAATCTAATTAAAAAATGCTGTTTTTGGGAGCTCAGAAAGGCTACCCCCCTTGAGCGGTGTCCCCCCCACAAATAAAAGGACGCCCCCCCCAATTAGTAAACCCCAGCCAGCCGCGATGAATTTTTTATATGCGTGCTTCAGACTGCAATCAATTAAGCAATGAATTAGTTCAACAACTATATCAACATTGCCTGATCTTTCCTCATCCACCTCGCAAATATGTTTTTGCAATGTGGCACTTTTTACTACTGCTACTACTACTGCTGCTAATACTACTGCTAATACTACTGCTACTACTACCACTATCACTACTGCTGCTGCTACTGCTTCTGCTACCACTGCTACTTCTTCCTCTTCTACTACAACTAATACTACTAATACTACTAATAGTACTAATACTACCCATACTACTCATACTACTAATACTATTAAAACTACTAATACTACTAATACTACAAAGTATTACAAAGTACAACAACAACAACAACAACTACTACTACAACTATAACTACAACTACAACTACAACTACTACAACGACGACGTAATTTGATAGAAGGCACCCTCTATCAGTGCAAGGGCTGTTCTTTCAGTAGGTCGAAACCGCACTATTGCCAAACACACTGGTTTCAGAAGCTTTTTGTGGGTTGGCTCATCATGTTGGGAAGAGGTGGCCCTCTGTCATTGCAAGAGCTGTGCTTTCAGTACGTCGAAGCCGCGCTATTGCCAAACACACTGGTTTCAGAGGTTTTTTGTGGGTTGGCTCATCATGTTGGGAAGAGGTGGCTTTCTTTCATTGCAAGAGCTGTGCTTTCATTAGGTCGAAGCCGCGCAAATGCCAAACACACTGGTTTCAGAGGTTTTTGTGGGTTGGCTCATCATGTTGGGAAGAGGTGACTCTCTTTCATTGCAAGAGCTGCGCTTTCATTAGCTCGAAGCCGCGCTATTGCCAAACACACTGGTTTCAGAGGTTTTTTTGTGGGTTGGCTCATCATGTTGGGAAGAGGTGACTCTCTTTCATTGCAAGAGCTGTGCTTTCATTAGGTCGAAGCCGCGCTATTGCCAAACACACTGGTTTCAGATGTTTTTTGTGGGTTGGCTCATCATGTTGGGAAGAGGTGACTCTCTTTCATTGCAAGAGCTGCGCTTTCATTAGGTCGAAGCCGCGCTATTGCCAAACACACTGGTTTCAGAGGTTTTTTGGCTCATGATGATGGGAAAAGGTGGCTTTTTATCGTTGCAAGAGCCTTTCGTGAGCTGGAGGCGACTACCAAAGGGTTGGGGAGGGTTATTTGGGGGGGTTTCATTAATTGGGGGGGTTGTTTGGGGGTTTGGCTGCGGGTTTGGTTGGGGGGTTAGGGGGGTGTTGCGCATTGTGTTTTTGATTCCGGCAAACCCCTTCCAGGCCCAGTCAGTGGTTCTATAAAGCAATTTTTTGCCATTTAGGGCAAGCCCCCATGGCATAGTGGTATTGAATAGGCTTTGGGCCAATGGACCCAGGTTCGATTCCCGGAGGGTGCGTCTTGCAGCCCGGGGGGTGGCACACAGCGGCTTAGATTCCCGGAGGGTGCGTCTTGCAGCCCGGGGGTGGCACACAGCTGGCTTGAATGCTTGTGTGTTGTGCGTCTTTCTCTGCCAATGTCTTGCTGTTATGTTAGCTACCTTTGCCTGCTTCTGGACATTGCCTCTAATTACTTCACGGTGGCTTTCTTTCATTGCCAGAGTTGTGCTTTCCGTACGTCGAAGCCGCACTATTGCCAGCACACTGGTTTCAGAGGTTTTTTGTGGGTTGGCTCATCATGCTGGGAAGAGGTGATTCTCTTTCATTGCAAGAGCTGTGCTTTCATTAGGTCCAAGCCGCGCTAATGCCAAACACACTGGTTTCAGAGGTTTTTTGTGGGCTCATCATGTTGGGAAGAGGTGACTCTCTTTCATTGCAAGAACTGTGCTTTCATTAGGTCGAAGCCACGCTATTGCCAAACACACAGGTTTCAGAGGTTTTTTTGTGGGTTGGCTCATCATGTTGGGAAGAGGTGGCCCTCTTTCATTGAAAGAGCTGTGCTTTCAGTAGGTCGAAGCCGCACTATTGCCAAACACACTGGTTTCAGAGGTTTTTGTGGGTTGGCTCATCATGTTGGGAAGAGGTGACTCTCTTTCATTGCAAGAGCTGTGCTTTCATTAGCTCGAAGCCGCGCTATTGCCAAACACATTGGTTTCAGAGGTTTTTTGGGTTGGCTCATCATGTTGGGAAGAGGTGACTGACTCTCTGTCATTCCCTCATGGGATTCTGATGGTTTACCATTTAACTTTTATTCTTTCTCCATAGGAACCTTATGGTTTACCAAGGGTTTTCTTGTTTCTCCATAGGAACCTGACAGTTTTCCACTAGTTGTCTAACCTTTTCCAATAGGAATCTGATGGTTTTTGCTTGGTTTTCTCACGTTCCCTCATAGGAATCTGATGGTTTACCATAGGTTTTCTCATCTTTTCTCATAGCAATCTGATGGTTTACCATAGGTTTTCTCATCTTTTCTCATAGGAATTTCATGGTTTATCATAGGTTTTCTCATCTTTTCTCAAAGGAATCTGATGGTTTATCATAGGTTTTCTCATCTTTACTCATAGGCATCTGATGGTTTATCATACGTTTTCTCATCTTTTCTCATAGGAATCTGATGGTTTATCATACGTTTTCTCATCTTTTCTCATAGGAATCTGATGGTTTACCGTAGGTTTTCTCATCTTTTCTCATAGGAATCTGATGGTTTATCATACGTTTTCTCATCTTTTCTCAAAGGAATCTGATGGTTTATCATAGGTTTTCTCATCTTTTCTCATAGGAATCTGATGGTTTATCATACGATACCATAGGTTTTCTCATCTTTTCTCATAGGAATCTGATGGTTTATCATACGTTTCCTCATCTTTTCTCATAGGAATCTGATGGTTTATCATAGGTTTTCTCATCTTTTCTCATAGGAATCTGGTGGTTTATCAAAGATTTTCTCATCTTTTCTCATAGGAATCTGATGGTATCTTATAAGTTTTCTCATCTTTTCTCATAGGAATCTGATTATATCTTATAAGTTTTCTCATCTTTTCTCATAGGAATCTGATCGTTTACCATAGGTTTTCTCATCTTTTCTCATAGGAATCTGATGGTTTACCATAGGTTTTCTTATCTTTTCTCATAGGAATCTGATGGTTTACCATAGGTTTTCTCATCTTTTCTCATAGGAATCTGATGGTTTACCATAGGTTTTCTCATCTTTTCTCAAAGGAATCTGATGGTTTATATACCATAGGTTTTCTCATCTTTTCTCATAGGCATCTGATGGTTTACGATAGGTTTTCTCATGTTTTCTCAAAGGAATCTGATGGTTTATCATAGGTTTTCTCATCTTTTCTCTTAGGAATCTGATGGTTTATCATAGGTTTTCTCATCTTTTCTCATAGGAATCTGATGGTTTATCATAGGTTTTCTCATCTTTTCCCATAGGAATCTTATGGTTTATATACCATAGGTTTTCTCATCTTTTCTCATAGGAATCTGATGGTTTATCATAAGTTTCCTCATCTTTTCTCATAGGAATCTGATGGTTTATCATACGTTTTCTCATCTTTTCTCATAGGAATCTGATGGTTTATCATAGGTTTTCTCATCTTTTCTCATAGGAATCTGATGATTTACCATAGGTTTTCTCATCTTTTCTCATAGGAATCTTATGGTTTATATACCATAGGTTTTTCATCTTTTCTCATAGGAATCTGATGGTTTATCATAGGTTTTCTCATCTTTTCTCATAGGAATCTGATGGTTTATCATAAGTTTTCTCATCTTTTCTTATAGGAATCTGATGGTTTATCATTGGTTTTCCAATCTTTTCCCATAGGAATCTTATAATAATCGTTTATGGACGAATGAATGGTCACATTATTTGGGGGGTTCGGTTTTTGGACCTCCTCACTGGACCTTGTTGACCTAGTTGACCTATAGGGGGGGGGGTTTATTAATCCGGGGTCAACATTAGGTAGGTAGATAGTCAGAGAAAGAGAGAGAAGGAGTGAGAGAGATCAAGCACCTTTCAGTCCATCAGTGGCTTCGCTCTGCCATCCCTGATTCACAACAACCAACCTCTCCTATAGGTTTCCTATTTTTGAAACTTCCGCCACCGCCTTGTGCGGTACTACTGGTATCTATGCCATATCATATCTAGGATATCTATGACAGGCAGGAAATAAACATACTGTAATAGTTATCCCCAAGTAAAATACATAAAATCATCATATATCCATGTCATGCCATTTCCATAAAAACAACCCCTCAACCCCCAACCAAGCCACATTCCTCCTGCAAGCGGAAGCTGTTGCCGGCATTCAGCACGATGTTATCGAAACAGTCCAGCACTTCATACATCCAGTCCTCCAAGAGGTCCATGACCGCCGCGTTGAAGCAAAACATGTCCTGAAAACAACCGGAAACAACGGGCACGAAAACAAAAAGGGAAGTCCGTTAAACATGTGGAGACTGGAGGCTGGAGGGATCCTTACAAATCCTTAAAATACTAATGCTGGATCAGAGCTGATTCGAGGTGCTTGGAAGAAATAAACATGGAGGATTAATATGGATTAATGGTGTGTCAGGCTTCTGACACCCAATCGGCCTAACGGATGATAACACATGACAACGAGGCAATCCACTTGCCCATGGTTTGATTGCCGTTCAGCAACCATCAACCGGTCTCAAAGAACATCCACTGATGGCTGATGTGATCGTCCAAAGATGTCCATAAGTCGTTGTCAGTGTCCAAGGTGTAGAGACAGAAGAAAAAACGAAATGAAACCACCAGCCGAATGCACATTAACCAGCTGTTCACCACAATCTACTCAAGTATGCTCATGCCCTAGTTTTCTCATGGGTTAAATTAAACACCTTAAATCAATAGTTCCAATTAATCCGGACCCCAGAGACTCACTACTGGGTTCAAACATTATCTGCCCAAAGTGAAGGTTCCTTTTGATCCATCGACCAATTAGTCAAAACATCACTTCCGTATATGTCACATATATGTCCTTTTTATGCAGATGTACAAATCTACATAATATATTATATATCACGCTTCACCCAACTGTTAACCTCCTGCATGAGCAATTTTCAAGCCACATCTGTCCAAGTACCCGTCCGCTCGCCAAGTGCTTGTGAAAAAATGGTTCTCTCATTTTCATCCATTTCTCCCACAGACAAGCCGGCCCAAGGCCCAAGGGATCCAAGGGTCATAAAAAGTCTTCGGCACACTCTGTTCCTTATCCTTTTTTCTCCTTGCGATCCTGGCCTCATGGATTTCCTCCTCTGCCAAGGCCTAAGCGGAGGCTGTGACATGGATTGGTTACGTATACAGTATTCATTAGATGGGCAAACAATGGCCTGCCTGAGACCGATCCATTGCTTTCATGATTTCAAAATGTGGGCCTTTCATCAAGTCTCCCTTTCAACAGCTGCAAATGGGATTAGCATGGACATAAATGGATTTGATGTACTCTGATGATCATCGATGACCTCGGGATCTACTGGTTCCAATATGATTCGGAGGTTGACTGAGGGGTTCGCAGAAAGTTCGAAGCTCACCATGGCATTGTGAATCAGTGCCATCCAACAAGGACGCAATTCGATCCCTAAGAACTCGGGAAAGAAGGCTGGTTCTGTTGGGCGATACAATGGCAAATTGACGAAGAAGCTCACGGGTGTTTCCAGTCAATCCTGGTTGAGCCATTCATCGAACATCGACTACAAGGACAACAAGGACCACAAGGGTGACGACAACGACAACGACAACAACAACGACAACGACAACGACAACAACAACAACAACAACCACAACAACCACAACAACCACAACAACCACAACAACCACAACAACCACAACAACCACAACAACCACAACAACCACAACAACAACAACAACAACCACAACAACCACAACAACAACAACAACCACAACAACCACAACAACCACAACAACCACAACAACCACAACCACCACCACAACCACAACAACCAACACAACCACAAACACAACCACAACCACAACCACAACCACAACAACCACAACAACCACAACAACCACAACAACCACAACAACCACAACAACACCAACAACACCAACAACACCCACACCACCACCACCACCACCAACAACAACAACAACAACAACAACAACCACAACAACAACAACAACCACAACAACCACAACAACCACAACAAACACAACAAACACAAACAAATCCACAACAACCACCGATCAGATTCACAACACCCGACAACAACCACAACAACCGACAAACACTACCCACAACAACCACAAGCATACCACAAACAGACCACAAAAACCACGAACAAGCCAAAACAACCACGAACAGGAACACCAACAAAGCCACAACAGAACCACAACAAACCAAAAACGACAGCACACACAACACACACAACACACAACAACACATAACAACACACCACAACGCACAACAACACACCACAACACACAACAACACACAACAACCACAACAACCACAACAACCACAACAACCACAACAACCACAACAACCACAACCCACAACCACAACCACAACAACCACCACAACCACAACAACCACAACAACCACAACAACCACAACAACCACAACAACCACAACAACCACAACAACCACAACAACCACAACAACCACAACAACCACAACAACCACAACAACCACACCAACCACACCAACCACACCAACCACACCAACCACACCAACCACAACAACCACACCAACCACAACAACCACAACAACCACAACAACCACACCAACCACAACACACCACAACACACCACAACACACCACAACACACCACAACAACCACAACAACCACAACAACCACAACAACCACAACAACCACAACAACCACAACAACCACCACAACCACCACAACCACAACAACCACAACAACCACAACAACCACAACAACCACAACCACCACCACGACGACAACGACAACGACAACAACCATCAGAACACGTTCAAGGCAACGTCATTCGCAATATGCTATGAGAGTCATTGGGCGCTGATCATCCCAAATGGTTGCTGATTTACTCCGGGTACACCTCCGTTTTTGTTGCTGTTTACCCTCATTTTCGTTCGTTTCCCAACCACTCAGCAAATTGCGCCATTGATGGAAGGCTACAGAGTAGCCTCCAAAGCTACAACACTGTCACCAAATGTTTGAGGGTATGAACCGCCGTCAACCCTCTCGGACAGCGGCTTGGATGCTGCCAGAATTTCGCTGATTGGCTATAGCTGGTGTATATCCCAATAGATCCCAATTAGTTTGTTTTTTTTTCACCCACCAACACTTGCCACAACTCCCTGTGGAAACGAATTTAAGTGGGGACACCCGCCAGCTGCTTCTTGCCTCCATGTCCTTCTCCCCATTCTCCACCTTCGCTCGCTCCTTGTCTCTAAGCTCCTGCGTGAAAAACACGACGTTTTCTTGGATATTCTTGGTGATGGCCAGTGGAAGAAATGCTTGGAAACGAAGATGTTGTTCTTCTTTATATAATTAAAATCGATTCTAAGCTCTTTGCCAGTTTTAGATAGTTTTAGTTCATTTTGGATATGTGACATTTTTGTCGCCCACTCTTAATGTGACATTAAAAAGATCGGGATCTTGTGGGCAAAAGGCCCTGCCGATTTGGGTAACCGGTCCGACATTTAAAGCCCAGGGGACCACGTCTTTAATGTGGAAACCTATGTAGGACCAGCAGTGCACCAATGTTTACCATGGGTTGTGTCGCAGAAAACTTACTGTTATATCTGTCATTAGTAATCATATTTGGATATATTTGGAATAAACCTTTCAGCTGCATCACAAACAATGCCAATGGTGAGAGCATGGATGCAGGCACTTGGTGGTCAAGTATCAAGTATCCATCAACACAATGCTGCTCACCATGAGAACAGAACATGGAAACACTTACATTTTCATGCAAGTCTATGTGCTCAAAACATACCCAACATATGTGAAATTCTTTGGGTCCAATTCATGCAAACTTGTGCGTGTTGAATAAAAAGCCAGCCTGGACATATTGGCCAACCGTCCAAACGTGAATCAAACCAAACGTGATGGTCACAACCATGGCCCCAACCCAAACCAGCATAATAATGATCACAATCATCATCACCATCAAGAATAGCCACGCCATCACCGCCACCACTACTAGCACCAAAATCAGTTAAAGAAGCACCAGCACCAGCACCCGCACCAGCAGCATCACCACCATCATCACATATCATCACCATGACCACCATGATCACCATGATCATCATGAACATCATGATCATCATGATCATCATGATCATCATGATCAAGATGATCATCAGCCCCACCACCAACATACTTGGAAGCCTTGCCCACCCAAAAAAAACAGCACAAAGAAAAAACAGGGAACTCTGCATGGGAGGAAGGCCTGTCCTTTGCTTCCTGTCGAGCCTTTTCTTTCGCTTCTTTCCTAGGACGTGGGGTTCCCCAACCCACTGAGATACCTTGAGGATGGCGAGCAATGTTGACATCTTTGAACATTGAGACATGGAATATGCCGACTTCAAGCCAGCATAGAATGGTCATTTATTCCAGCTACATGCAGCAGTCTGAAGGGAAACGAACTGAAGTTTGGTGACTTTGGGTCTCGGGAGGCATGGGGCGACTTGTTTGCCATGCAAAGGGCTATAATCGGCATGATCCGCCGACTTGGCCATTGGATGGCATTTTGTAATTTTTGTTGCTCACTTTTTGTTGGCAAAATAATCATGTTCGTTCTGAGAAGTTCTTGTTCCTGTCATGGTGACAGAATTGGGCAATTGATGGGTAATAAAAAGCAAATCATCTATTAATGTCCATCTTGGGGTCCCCGAAGACTGGGTACAGGTACCCTCTGGTAATCAAACATGACAATTTGGAAACTCCTTCATTCAGTCCAGTTCGATGATTTTCCCATGATACAAAAAGAAACTTCCACTTAATTCATTACAACGGAGTTCCCAGCTTGGGAGTTTCCAGCTTGCTATGTTCGATGACACCGGAACGCACCCTCTTTTAAACTATATAACATAGATATGGAAAACCACCCATTTTTAATATATGTTCCAACCAGATTTCCCCATGGGTTTTCCAAATCTATGTTAGTTTACCCGTGTACCCCAACCCAGATCCAAGATGATCCAAGTGTCTCCTTCTGTTTGCTCTTATCCCTATCACGGTTGGCTTCCACCCAGGAGCTGCTCAGCAGCTTCACGCGATCCGCGTATTGCGAGCGGGTGTAGATCAAGGCGCCACCGATGTAGTTGAAGACCTCGGCCGGCCAGGGGAATCCCGAGTTCGCGCGTGGTTCAACCGTTAAATAAACCCCAACATTTTCTTGAAGACGTTTCACCATGTTAAACCCCTATCCAGGTGTTGAGCTGATATATCGTTGTGAGATGTTGTGAGGCACAGTTTGGAGACAAGAAAATCAAAAAACGTGTGAACTCCCAGCTTTATCCTTTCTAAAATAAAAACACATTGCATATCATTGCATGTTTATGATTGCACAAGCGACATAGGTAGAATTTCCTTCAATGGGTAATCAATATCACATTCGCAGGAAGCCCTCCGGTACTTGGATCGGACCCAGGACTTGTAAGTGGTAAGCCATACTCATATTATTGGCACAGTGTATACACATGTTTCCTTGCCAAAAACATATTTGCATGCGTTTCTCCAATCATATGTGCAATCTTCAGGATACATATCGATAATACATATATTTTTGTTGTTCTTACTCTCTCTCTCTCTATTAGTTATTATTATCACAATAAAGCCTACTTAACCTATACAAACTATCTTAACGAACGACCTCAAGCACGACCACCACTAAGGCCTCTCTATCCTGGTGATGAGTTATAACGGCCAGGGATGACACACACACACAACAAGAAGAAACGTATGGAGGTTTCCTGAAATGGGGGTACCCCCAAATCATCCAAAGTTAGACCAGTTTAATATTGACACCGCATTGAAACCCATGGTTTTGGGATCCCCCATCTTAAGAAACCACCATGTGTTTGTATTGATTCATTTATTCATATAAAGCCCCCTGCGCAGATGATGATACAAATGTAACACACCCAACTGGAATCGGTTGAACTAGACTGGAATCATGGGAAGCCATCAGAAATGTCAACTGTACAGGATTCAGCATGAATCAATTTGGACTTGAAGGTCTTCGAAATAAAACTGCGATGGAACTCCAAGCATGACTGTTGCTGTATGGGCTCCAGAAGGAAAATCAGTTCAGGACTTCAGGATGGATCTTGCTCTGGAAGCCCATACAACAACATTGGGCATCATTGGGCGCAACATCTTGGGCAGACTGGCGCTGGCAGACTGGAGCGTTGCCGGGAGCGCTGTCTTGCTTTTCTTAACTTCATTTATCACTTGGAAGTTGGTCATCTTGTCCTTAAAAGATCATATTGGGGTTTCCTAAGGTAAGGGGTACCACCAGTTATCATCCATATTAATAGGATGTTACACTATCAACCATCCATTTCTAGGGTACCACCATGACTTAGGAACCCCCCATTCGCCATTTTTTTTTTGAGAAGTTGTCACCAATTCACCAACAAAACATCTGCCAAGGCACCTGTATAAGTCCGTTGGCCTTGCCTGGGGCCAACAAGAACAAAAGGCTTGTAACATCAGAGACTTGACTTTGACTTTTTGACTTTTTAAATGGATGTTTGAAAAGGGGCTAAAATTCATAATGAAATCCATGATCTCCCATTTATAATTTATAGATGTTTCAATGGGGAAACAACATCTATAAATGGTAGATTCTCCCTACCTATCTTGATATCTGCACTACGCCGACAAGGCTTGCAAGTGTGGCTGAAGTTGTCTACAGATGAAAAAACCGTCGGTGAGTCGATGTCAGCAGCTTAAAACTGCAAACTCGGATGTTTTCCACAGTGCTTGGGATTGCTTTTGATATCACATTTGATGTTTGGACACGAAAAAAACACCCTGGTTGGATACCTTAGTGCCTCAGAAATGGCCAGCTATCACCATTGACCATTGGACCATCCTCACCAGTTGACCCAGCTATCACCAATGGACCATCCTCACCAGTTGACCTATGCATATGTCTATACAAAAGCGTATACATTTACAAACAGCACATGTTATATTTACATTATGATCACGTTGATATCATTCGTGAATACATCTGTGAACAACAACATGTATATATCTATATATAGGTATAGGTATTAGGTATAGGTTTAGGTACAGTTATAGGTGTACGCATATGTCAGCGTGTATGTATATGTAAACGTATATGGAAATACATAATATGTACGTATGTATATATATATATATTGCATATGATGTGTTTCTAATAATACTATGTTTTTAATGTGGGTAAAACAATGCCACAAACCACCACTGGAAATGGTAACCATACCACCTGTAAAAATGGTGATGACTGGGGGATGGTTTATTATTGCGTTTCCGTTTCCTACAATTTGTCAGACCATTCCCAAATGGCTGGTTTATGGCAGTGTTTTTCCTAGAATTTACCCTCTCGTAATTTGTTACATAGCTATTGAACATGGCCCATAGAAATAGTTGATTTACCTGTTAGTTGATGGTGATTTTCCATAGCTATGTTAAAGTTTACTGGCGGGTCAGTCATCATATGTCAATATTAATATTAGTTTAATAGAGGGTAAATCAAGTATAAATGGTAAATCAACTATAAATGGTAAATCAACTATAATACATTATCCATTTGGTTTACCAAAGGGTATATGTCATATTCCAGAGCTAAGCTCCTCACCTTGCGACCAGTTGAGCCCCAGCTCATTGGCGATCAGCTCCAGCAAGGCGCCCCGAACCGCCTCCACTCGCGGAATCGTGACCTGTCAACACGGCAATGGGAAAATCCATGGGAAATCCATGGGAAACCCATTGGACATCCATGGAAATACCATGAAAATAGCCCTTTGATGGAGATTTCAATGGGAACATCAGCTACAAATGGGAGTTGAACCGTTGAACCTGTGTGTCATTCTTATGTCACTTTAAGAAATCACTTACGGACCTCAAATTTCCCAAACATGGATCCAAATATCTTGGGATTAGAAATCCGCCTGATAGTGGGCTCTAAGGGAGGATGCTCCCAAGAGGCTAGGGGGCTAAGAATGGGAACCGCCTAGTATCAACCCAGGACTGTCCCCAAAGCCCGAATTTACTGCTGCGATTGCCCCCCAAACAGAGATAATTCCATCATTTGTAGCCCAACATGAACATAATTGGATACAATTGGGGCTACTATCACAGGCGAAACATCATATTACATACACATTGTGATTGACTCCAAGGTTTGATGGTAATGAATTGGTCTTTAATTTTGATCCACAATGATCACTGCTCAATTGGAAATTTGGCAATATAAGGATAGCATGAGATAACACTCACTTACTGGGATCTTGCCACAGCTGTCGCTTATCACTTCCGAATGGGTCCCGTACATTCAAATAACCCTAAAAAACAATGGTTTACAATGGTTTACATACTCATGTGATCAGTCCAACTATAATCTCCCATTCTAAATGTTAAAACACTATTTGAATATATAATATTGTACAATACTCCTCAATCTATGAACCTATTTGAATATTATGAATTCTTCCGCGACGGCTTCTGCCTAGCTCCCGCGGCCCTTCTGCAATAGCAACCTTGCAAAACAACCTTCCGCGCGTTTCCGCGACTGCCATCGAAGAATTTAGGGGAACGTGTCCGACGTGTCCAGTTCATTTCGTACCGTCACCACCCCGATAAAGAAAACACATGTCTGATCACTATTGCCACTGCTCGCCTCTAAATCTAAGTGTTTGAAGCCGATAATGTCCTGAGCGCGCGGCCGTGCCATCAACAAACGAACCATTGGATTGATGGCTTCAAAACCAGGATTATCTTTGCACAAAATGCCAGACTCTATGTGAGTTCCAAAGGTCGAAAATGGTAAAATGATAGTTGTTTACTCTGAGAATCCTCTTGTTGATCTTGTTGATATGAGTCGCATGCCCAGCACCTGATTGAATCCAAAGATAACTGTACGATTTGCTTGATGATTTACATGATTGTTTGTAGGATAAATTGGGGGTGTCTCAAGATACGGCGGACATATATCTGTGGTGGAATTTATTCATATCACTTGAAAGGAAACAGCTTTAGCATTGCTAGCATTTGCTTTGACCTGCGGAGCGCATCTTTGTAGCACTTCCCGGAGTATATATTTGAGCGCTTCTTTTCATGGAAAACTAATGCGTACTCCCGCAAAACAATGCAAAACACACTCCCAAAAAATTGGTGCCCAACAAACCCCCAGTCCATGGTGGTCGGAACACCATAGTTACCCCTTTAAAAGAACATCTTCGAATTCCATAGCTACAAGGCGGGTTTCATAAATAGGGATACCCTAACATGGATAGAATGGAAAATCCCATGAAAATGAATGATTTGGGGGTACCCCCATGACTTTTCGGAAACGCCCATCAAAATTTAGCCACGGCCGTGGCGGCTTCGCATCTGAGTGTCCACCAGGTTTTTGGCATCTTGTGGCTCATTCAGGGAATTAATAATCCTCGGGACAGCTGCGCCGTGGCGAAGCCACCAACGGACAGCGACGTTAGGAGCGTTAGGAGCCAGTGATGTCCGGTACTGATTACTGGTAATTCTTAGACTTGCGTTCACGATCGGCTCCAATATATATATATATATATTATTTATATATACACAGACCACTTCGCAACCATTTGCAAACAACATACACGCGGCTACAAACTGTTTACTAACTACAATATATAACCAATAACCCACCATTTCCAGGCCAGCAGCCTACTACATGCAACCATTCACGAACCGTCAACTAACCACCCTATCGCCAACCTGGAATCAATTTTTAAACCACTTTGCAACCATTCATCAACAATTATATAATTAATTGGCACACTAGCAACTGCAGAGGGTTGAATGTAGGTTGAATCTTATATACTTCAACAAGAACTCTACATTGAGTTGACCTTTCTAGGTATTGAACTTGTGATATTTTCTCTGAGAATCAAACGTGCTACTATTTACCCTCCAGTAAACTAACATATGTAGATCAATGAAATTCCACCATGACAGTACCTTTTGAAGGAAAACCATGAGTTTCAATTAATTAAGCGCGTTCTTCCTTTACTCTAGCTCTGAGATTTCCATTCAATTTCTCAGCTATATATATATATATATCATGTTATATCTATCATATACTATCAACATCTATAAACCATGGATTTCCCATCGATTTCCTATGTTTATTTATGGATTTTCTATGGGTTTCCCATGGATTTCCCCATGGGTTCTGGCCCCAAGGCTCTGATGGACACCCTCCTGAAGCCGCATGGCCGCCACTGCCCGCGGGAGCTTGAACATGGTGGTCATGGCTGGCACCTGCGCCATGAATTTCTCTGGTTTATGGCTGGTTTATGGCAGGTAATTTCTCTTCAAAATGGCCGCTTCATGGCTGGTTAATGGCTGGGGAATGGTTGGTTAATGATGGTAATTTTCTATTTAAATGGATAGTTAATGGCTGGTAAAATAGTGGTTTGACTTACAAACCATGTAACAACTACCATCTGTTAATGATGGTGAATGACTGGTGAATGGCTGGTTAGTGAATATGTCTCTTCAAAATGGCAGGTGAGCGTCACGTTTAGTTAAAACAAACTTGCCGTGCTTAGCAAGTTCTGATAAGTTCTCACTCTCTTGCGATGTTACTGCTCGAATTCATCTTGGGGAGTGCTACAGTATATTGGCATATAATTCCTTTTTTCAGATTTGAGATATGTTGAAATCAAAAAAACATGATAAGCAAGGATAGTGGGTAGCTATCAACCAACCATTTCCGACAAACGCCTCAGATATGAATTTCAGCGCATGTTCCTTTGTCAAGGATAAAGCTTCTGATTGAAACTTGAAATATGAGAAACCGTGGAAGAAATTGAGGCACATATATTTGCATGTTGCTTTAAATGGGTAGGATATTCTGTTTCAATACACTTGATTGAATATGGTCAAGCCCGGAGAGTTGAAACATCTGCCGCCGGAGTTGGATCGGCCCGTATTGGTGTCAAACAATACGTAGCAAAGAAACACAGAGCCCAGCGGATCCATCACAGAGTTAGGCATGGGCAAGGCCCCATTTCGAGGAAAGCTTGCAGTATTAACCTCTATATATATAAATATATAATATATTATATATATATTATATCTGTAGGTGTCTCTGGTTCGTGGGGTCTTGTCCACATACCAGCAATATCAAATACGTCGGCTATTCATCAAAATACTTTCTCAATGTATGACATATAGTTCGCACAATATCGTATTATTCCTCGGTTCAATCCTTATTTTCATGGATATGTAATGTTGGATTCCATATCATTATTCCAATAAACATTGCTTGGTGTCCCATGCCATACCAGTCAGTCAGTGAGACAGTTCGCCCCACAACTGGACTAACCCTACTCACCACATCTATAAATAAGGCTGCAATTATATATAACCAAATGTTGGTTGTAATGTCATTTCTTTGATTGAAAACTACAGGTATCCGATAATGTTAGAATCCACAATATATTCAATGTCAAATATGTCAATAATAATATATCTGTGGCGCATTATCAACCATCTAACATTCAGGTTACAATTGTATTTAACACAATGTATCACTGTAAAAAAATAATATGTATTGATATATCAACGAATTTAACATGATAGGATTCTATTGCAAAATGTCCCCAAACCTATCCCCTCAGCCAAGCCACCGCTTCCACCATAGCATCATGCATGGCCTCACCCGCCGCTTCTGCGGTGTCGAAGCCGTCCAAAAAAAGGTCCTGGGTTAATCGGTCAAGATGCTGTGGTCTTAAGTCTTAGGGTGTTGAACTTGCAAAAACTGGGGTGCCATCCAGTAAATTAAGTTGTATTAAATTGACATAAACCCTGTCATTTCTTGTGAGGTGAATGAAAGATCAATTTGCACTAGCATTTGGCTTTTTGCAGGGTCTATGTAAATTTGGTGGTTGCTCGCAACACCACAAATACTTTGGGGGAGAAAACTGCCTAGATACAGAGGTAGAATGACCAATTATATACTCCCCCCTTGCGGTTATCACGTACCTATAAAGCACCTATCACCTACAAACAAATAGGGTATGTCACGGTATGTCTGGACTTTACTACTATAATAAGGCTTAAACCAACAAAGCAAAAGGATAAGTTTAGCTCACAAGATCTCACAAGAAAAAAGCGCTTAGACGCACTAAACCTCTGTTTCAATCAACAAGGAAAACAAATGTTAATCTACAAGAAATCCAACCAAATTAGGAATCTACTACGTGAATTTGGATTGAACCTGCGAACAACTGGATGCTTAGAGGCTTAGATTCACACAAAAAAACACCCGGTTTGACCCACATTTCATCTGCCACCGTTAAGGTTTAGTTCAGCCTAATCTCTCCCAACACAAGTTTAACTAACCACAAAATCGGGGCGTACCATCTACCATAACTACATTTGACTTTTTAGTCCCATGAAAAATTACTGAGCAATACAAGGTTTGCAGTTTTACACTGGCACTATCCATCCCCACCATGGCAGGTGCGACCCAGGTTTCCCAAGCTTCTTGCGTTTCAGTCGCCTGGTGATGTTCCAATTGATAGTGGCTCCAAGTGGACACAATATTTTCCGGGGAGGATTCAAATGGGTAGTTTCTTAGTTGGCCAATTCTCCTCAAATATCTTTTGATTCCTGTCTGTATGGATTGGGATGGTCCATATTTTGTCTATTCCGAGGGATGAAACACAGACCTGACTGTAGGATTGTTGAAGCGGGCATGGTTCACTTACCCCAGGACATAAACCAACAACAGCTTGGACCACACAAAAAAACGTCCCAAAGAAGAACCAAGTTTCGCAAGCCGATGATGAATCTCATCCCCCCTATACATCCTCCAGTTTTTTTGCTTTAGGCCTGATTTTTTCATCTTGGGTCTATCTAGTGGTTGTTTTCGATGGGATAAGAGAAGAAGGCACAGGCTGGTGCATCGCGATAGGTTCTGTAGGTCAATCTTTGTTGGCTAAATTTGAATGTTCTCTGACTATTTGCTGCGTTTCCTGATTTTTGCTAGTGATTTGCTGGTTGAATTTCCCTTTTGTGTATATTGTATATAGTCAAAAATGATGATCACCCTGGGAATGTCTGAAAATAAACAACACAAATACACATTCAAAAAAAGCAGGTAAGGTCAGGTTAACAGCAGATTTTAAAAAAAAACAGCTATCTGTCACGTCGTTGGGAAACGCTTGTGACAGCTCCGAAACGCTCCCCATTCAGGGTAGGGAATATGGATACCCCAAACGCGCAGCTCATCGCTCCCTCTTAACCACTAGATATCACTAGATAGTGAAGGCTGAGGTGCCTGTGCTTCTGTCATCCGAATCAGCTCCAAGGAAGTGGTTTTGATCTCCATTGGGTCGAACTCCTCGTCTTCCCTGGGTAGGCACAAAAAACCGCGTTTCAAGTCATTCACGCTTTAGATCATCACTAATCATGGATAATAACAATGGATAACTTGCATGATAACAATCAACTATGGACAATCTATATGATCACTACCACCTACTGCATGGTTGGTTTTAAGGTATTCCCGTCATGGATTATATGATAATCCCCAATAACATTGGGCCGTAAAATTGGGGCCACTTCTCAGCCAAACATCTAGGATGATCGCTTCGATGCTCATGCAGTAACTGAGTGATATCCCGCTGACATCTCCCTATGTCGGGGTTTCTTAAGTCATGGTGGATCCACAAAATGGGTTTCAATATTAAAATGGTCTAGTTTTGGATGATTTGGGGTACCACCATTTTAAGAAACCTCCATATTTGTATATATATATATATGTATTGTTATTTCTCTATACGTCATTTGGAAAGCCAGCAACCCACTATTCAGAGGAAAAAAACGCAAAGGCTCGTTCGGTATACCTCAAAGTGAAAAAAACCAACCGGTGTGAGATTGTGTTATTTTTCAAACCATATTCAAGGCATATGTTCGGGGACAATTTCCTCACACCACCCTTAGGATTCCTTACAGATGGTAAGTGCGTACAAAATCCTCCAGTTTGAATACATAACTGACATTTTCCATCATTCTCCGCTGCTGGGTCTCTGTCGCGGCGGTTTGTCGAAATGGGGGCCCAATGGCGGGTGGGAAACTGATGCCTATGCCTTTGGGGCAAAGCTGAGCAATGAGTAGCAACGCACAAAAAATCGAACAGTTATGTTCTGCATTGTATCAAGAATATGTTCATAGGAATTTAATAGTTTACCTGTTCATAGTTTTGGATAGTTTTGGGATGTTTTGGATGTTGCTTAGCATCTGCAGGAAAAAACTCCTGTCATTTTGGGTGGTGCACCGGATGGTGCACCAGCCCTATGAGGAAAGCTATGGTCCCATAGATCTTGTCACCACTGGGGGTGCACCATGGTGATTTTAGGCCCAATCAGTTGGGATATAACTCACTCCTCAATGATCTTTACCGCCCGGATATTCAACATGATTCTTGCATCCCATGGTAGTTTGATGCTTTTCCCTTCTGAATCCTCCATTTCTTTCAGGGACTTCCAGCCCACATGGTTCATCTTCTTGTATTGTCCAGCTCATCCAAGCAAGCATCTGCACTTCTTCAGGTGGCGCTGCAAATTCTTTGATGCAGTCCAGTAGAAGGGTGGCATGCGGCCCTTCAGTGTTCTCTCCTGGAGCAGGTTGCATGCTCTCTGGTAACTTGACATAGCCATGGTTCTACCAGAATCTTACCCATACTCCAAGGCTGGCCATACTCCAGGCCAAAATGGCTGAAGCACCCTGAAAGGCAGTATATTGGTGGCATTCGTGAATCCTATGGTATGCGATGAAACATCGGTATGCGTTAAGTTATCCCTGTAAGTAACCTGGACTCACTATGTTATGTGGAGTACGATGTTTGCACGGTATGCGTTAACTTCGTGGAGTGCGCTCCCACACAGGTATAGGATTGAGCATACTTATTTCGAGTTTAAGGGTATCGTCCAGGCACTGCCATGAGAGGCGATGAAGTTCAGGTATGCGCTCGCCCTGTAGAGCCATTATATGTGGAGTGTTGTGGAGTACGATGTTTGCATGGTATGTGTTCCCTTTGCGGAGTGCGCTAACTTTGTGGAGTGTGTTAACCTTGTGGAGCGCGTTCCCGCTCAGGTATGTGAGTACGATATTTGCGTCCCATGCGTTAACTTTCCCAGTTTGGGCGACAAGGGGTTAGAATGGTATATAGATGGTCCATCTATAGATGATTTACATACCGATTTACCTATTGACATCTATATGTTTTTTCATAGCTATGTCAATATCAGAGAGTCTGACAAATTTATAGATGGATCGATCGATTTTGATGTATAGTATAGACAATAGTTTTTTTCTGTTTGTGCGATCCTGTCAAAAAAAAAGGTCCTGTCACAAAAAGGTCTGACACGTTCTGACAAAAATGGTGACACATAATGACACTTATAGAATCTGACATAAAATCCCACCCTTCGTGAAGGAAACTCAGAAAATTAGAGTGACACATGTTACCCATAGATTTCGGATTAGTTGTTGATTTTAATACAGTATATAACTGTTCTGATGGTAGGTACAGCAAGTCGTTCATGCAGAATTTTAATCCAAACCTTTTGTATCTCCATGTCTTTACCAGCAGCCAACAGGTTGGAACTGCTGATCCAGGCTATACATGTTGTTGGGATGGTTCCATGCAGAAACCTTACTGGTTAGAGCTTAGGTATACGTCCAGTTTGGGGGCAACGTGGCAAAACATTAGAAATTGTAAACTATACCCAATCTATAGTATACATCCATCTAGGCGCCAACATTTCACCATGTCGAGGTTTTGCACACATGTATGAACCATGTAAAAATTGATGCAAACAAAACACAACAGGTCATAATGAACATTGTTTATGACATTGGCTTCACCCCATTACCAATCAAATACCATAAACGCCTCCCCTAAGGTGTCCCTCCTAGACATCTGAAGGCTAACATCGTGGAATCCGCCAGTTGAGCGTTCTGCGACGACACCTGTGAGTGCGGGGGCGTGAAATTCGACTATATAAGAGCCAAAATCTGTTGGGGAAATTGAATTAAATGTTGGGGCTTTTACAGGGGTTGAGCAAACAATGTCTTCGTATGTCTTCGTTTGCTATTCATCTTCAGATTCACCAGCACTGAGAAACTTCTTAATCTCTGTCTTCAACCCCTGGGAAATTCTCCAGTTTAAGACAATCCCTCTGAAAGGAACGTACAAAGACTTTCAATTGAAACAATATGAAACAATTATATAATTATATATCCCAGGAATCTTAAAAAATCTTGTAGATTAAGCTGATGAGATGTGCAGCTGCCTTAAACATTGGCAAATTGCTCCCCTCACTCTGCAATACCGGATCAAGGCTGAGGATAAAAAAACAAGCGATGGTGCAAGACTCTGACCTACTTAAGCAGGAACATGTACCCTCTGGTAAACTAACATAACTATGGAGAATCACCACTTTTAATGGGACAACTCACTATAAATGGCAATTTTCAATAGTTATTTTAAATTACCAGAGGGTACGTAGAACGTAGAACCAAACTAAATCTAAGCACCGAAAAGGCAACGAAAAGGCAATGCAATTCACTGGTCTGAGTGCCCAATCTAGCCGGAACTGACTCCATTTGCCCTGTACATGACTCCTCAACTCTAGTCCAAATTCAAGTTATTCTTCTAAGCTACGTCGACTTTTCACCAAATTGATTCTAGAACACACCAAAACATCCCAACAAAAAAAGTTGATCCCAACATTTTCTCAACATTCTTTCAACATTTTCCCACCATTTTCCCAGCATGTTCCCGCCATGTTGTTTCGGAACAGCTGCGGCCGCTGCATCCCGCCTCTAGCAACAGCTCCGCCACCGCTGCGGCGGCTTCTTCGCTGACGACTTGCGTGTCCTGGACTCTCAGCTCAGCTGCCGGGATCAGCTGATCGATGAAAGTGATCAACTCCTCGATGTAGATGCTCCTTGGATGAATTTTGATGGACATTTATGGTTTTACAATGCCATATGTTAATGGACAATTATGAATTTATTGTTTTACAATTGTTTTTATGGAAATTGATGGCTTTACAATGGTTTTTGGATGAATTCATGGCTTAAAATCATGGTTGTTTATACATGTGAATGGGCAATCCCAAACCAAAAATGGATAATGATAAACTTATGGCTATATGATGCTATATATGTTAATGGCAATTCCGACTAAAATGTGGAAAATCTCCAAAATGGATGATTATACCATAAACATGGGCTAGGGATATAAGCTTATGTAAATGGGAAATCCCTAAAATGGGGGATCCCATTTAAGCTGGATGATTTATATAGTTGAATGTGTAGATTCTCCTCAGGTGATGCAAGTTGATGTGAACGTATCCCCCGCCCTGCACCCCACCATGTTTACCAGAACACATGAATGTCAACAATGAAACGCTTCAAAACCGCCAGCAAGGTTTGGGTTGATTATTCCTCCGCTGGCACAAACACGGGGAATGACCTATCAAACTAGCATCAAATTTAATCAAAATAGGCAGAACCATTTTTGTAGGCACTGATGAGAACACAGAGAACAAATTGACAAAATATATAAGCTTTGCACATACTCCCTGGTGCACAGCTGCATTTGGGTTCAACTGAGCCTTGTTCGTCGGGGATACCACTGGCCACCAACGGGAATTCAACAAAAAAATGGTTCACGTTTAAAGTTAATCAACAAATATTAGGATACAATGGGAAAGGACACATATATATATATATACATATATATATAGTCTATATACTGTAGTCATAAATCGTAACTTAGTACATATACAGCGATATGCTGCCAGGCTGGAACAAAGAAGGATGCAGCCCGCCCTCACAATTTGGGAATGTGGATAGATATTAATATATTAGATATGGAGGGTATGGTAGAATATGAGTCAGGCTGGAACAAAGAAGACAGCAACGTAGATACACACTGACAAGCACACACACATACATATGTATATATGTATATAATGTTTAAATATACACATATCTATGGATCTATCTATCCATCTACCTGCCTATCTATCTATCTATCTAACTATCTATCTATCTATCTATCCATGTACCTGCCTATCTATCTAACTATCTAACTATCTAACTATCTAACTATCTATCTATCTATCTATCTATCTATCTGTCGTTTACCGGCACATTGAAAATGACAATGTCGACCCTAGCCGTTCCATGGTTTGATTTGAAAAAAAAAACAAACGGAAACCCATGGTTATCACATTGAAAAATAAATTTTGGTTTGTGACCTGGTGTCAGCCCTTGAAGATTTCAGTCATTTGAGATCCCAAATGAAGAATCCTCGGGCACAAGCCTGACTGTCCAGCAACACTATGTCAGAATGCAACATGAATAAACATAAATAAAAATAAAATTAAATAAACATCTAAAATATAATGCCTGGCTCTGGTGAAGGACAGGGGGTTGAACATTTAATACACTATTAATATATTTATCCTCTGGTATCATAGCTATGGAAAAGCCACCAACGAGATGTTCTGGAAGCCATGGCCAAGGCATCCAAGGCATCCAAGGCATCCAAGGCATCCAAGGCTCTTGTGATCGTCATCCATGATCTCCCAAAGCCCCACATATTCCTCCAGATGCTCCTCGCTTGCGGCTCTGGACGGTTCCCAACTGTTCATTTGGATACTCTCGAACTGGGCGGCTTACACTCAATCCAATACTAACATTGAAACCACGAAACCGCCCAACAATGCCCAACATTGGATTTAGATTTAGACCATGGTTTTCTCATGTTTTCTCAATAGTTACCCTATTGATCCTATTGATCCTATTGGATGTCCATGTTCCTCCCCACCAAGGGTCGTAGAGTTGCTTGGCCACTAGCTCCAACGCGGCATTTCCGGTGAGCACCTCATCCATGCGCGGCGCGTTCGTCGAGCCGGGTACGTGTCGAGTTGGACAGCCCGAAACGACGAAACCCGCGGGCACCGATGAGCCCGAAACAACTGCGGATGGTGCTGCGGTCCACTTGTGATTCAACCAAGTATCAAGCATGGCGTGTATGGGAATTGGACACTGCCATGGAGGTTAAAAAAAACAGCAAACAGTTTGGGCCGCTACTTGAACAGCAATTGTTTTTTAGATTTGAAACCACACTCTCCCGCTCACTACAAGAACTAGAACTGTGCACCAGTACTGTTCATAGAGAATGCTAAAAAACACACCTCAACCTGTGAAGTTATGTAAGAAACAAACTCAAAGTTCATTTCTGACAAAAAAATGGGGCCAACATATTCAAGTCATGGCACATAGGGTGTACACATACATATAGATATCCACTAATTTATTACATTTTTCGCCTTCTTGAAGAGTTCAGCTATGCTAAAGGCGAGTAAAATGAAAACACGCTACCAGATTAGGGTATGGTAATATCTATATATTTATATAAATAAATAAACATATGTATATATATATATATGTATATATCTATATCTCTCTCCATCGCCCTCTCGAAGAGTTCAACCAATTTATATATATATATAGTAATTAAGTTGTTTATTCAGTGATTAAATCGATTTTTAAGCACCCGCAGCATCACACAACCTAATCATGGCCCTATGGTCCATATGTTGGAGATGCCCCATTGCTGCGTGGCAAAACTCATCTGTCTTGTGTGCCCAACACTCTCAACTTCACGAAAAAAACAATGAAGGCGACCACTGTCACTGCATGTTGGGCAAGAGAGGCTCAGGCTGAAATCGCTTCATAGGCTGGCCGGCTGCTTCCGCACATCTTCGTTGGCGTTGCCAACGAGAAGTTCTTGAAAAACGTCCGAAATGGATTGCTGCATGCTGAATTGCTGGGCCTGGCAACTCTTGCATATATATATATATGTAATGAACAAATAAAGACGTTTACGCTGTAGAGGATCTGATTTCCAACAAACTTCTACTTCAGCATAACTAAATGAACCTGAAGTTCAGTATAACTACATTTTTACTTATACCAGTAGTGCCGCACAAAGCGGTGGCGGAAGTTCCAAAAATAGGAAACCTATAGGAGAGGTTGGCTGTTGTGAATCGCGGATGGCAGAGCGAATCCGCTGATGGACCGACAGGTGGTCGGAGTTGTGTTTTCTGGAATGGTTGCAATGGTTGCAGTGGTTACCTTACCACAACTGCTGGATGTAGTGTGGTGTAGTGCAGTTGTAGTTGTAGTTGCAGTTGTAGCTGTAGTTGTAGTGTAGTGTAGTGGAGCTGTGGGGGTAATGTAGTGTAATTAGTGTATTTGCAAGTGCAGTTGCAGTTGTAGTCGTGGTGTGGTGTGGTGTAATTAGTGTAGTGTAGTGCACTGTAATGTCGTGTAGTGTTGTGTAGTGTAGTGTGGTATAATGTAATGTAGTCTAGTGTAACGTCGTGTAGTTGGAGTGTAGTGTAGTGTAGTGCAGTGCACTGCATTGCAGTGTAGTGTAAGTAGTGTAGTGTAGTCTGGTCTAGTGTAGTGTAGTGCAGGGTAGGGTAGGTTTAGTGTAGTGTAGTGTAGGGTAGGGTAGTGTAGCGTAGTGTAGTGTAGCGTAGTGTAGTGTAGTGTAGCGTAAAGAAGTGGTAGTTGTAGTTGCAGTTGCAGCTGCAGTTGTAGGTGTAGTTGTAGCGTAATGCAATGTAATCAGTGTAGTGTAGTGTTGTGTAATGTAGTGTGGTTGTAGTTGTGGTTGTATTTGTAGTTGTAGTGCGCTGCAGTGTAATTAGTGTAGCGTAGTGTAGTTGTAATTGTAGTTGTAGTTGTGGTAGTAGTTGTTAGTGTAATTGCTGTAGTGCAATGTAATTGGATATAATTAGTGTAGTGTAGTGTAATTAGTGTAGTGTAGTGCACTGTAAGGTCGTGTAGTGTTGTGTAGTGTGGTATAATGTAGTATAGCCTAGTGTAAGGTAGTGTAGTTGTAGTTGTAGTGTAGTGCAGTATAATTAGTGTAGTGTAGTGTAATGTAGTGTAGTGTAGTGTAATGCAACGACAAAAATGTAGTTTCTCTGCGAAACGTCCTCAATTTTTCAACTTGACAACGTCAAAAACGAAGCAGTTCTGCGAGACTTCCTCAATTTTTGAACTTGACAACATCAAAAACGAAACAAGTCTGCAACACCAAAAACGAAACAATTCTGCGAGACATCCTCAATTTTCGAAGTTGACAACATCAAAACCGAAACAATTCTGCGAGACTTTCTTCAAAAATGGAACGTTGAGTGCAGAGCTGACGGCCTCGTACCATTGCGTTTTGCGATTTTTTTTGCTCCACCTTGGAACCTGTCTCAAGTACTGCGCCTGCCACGAAAAAGTGATGCCAGGTCATACGAAGTGCTGCACTTGTCACGCAAAATCATCTCAGCAAACCTGAAGATCTGATGCTCCAAAATGCAACCCTTCTCAGGAAATCAGCGCCCGGACCTCCTAACAACTCTGATGAACATGTCTCTTGTACTGCCCCTGCCACGGAAAATACATCTTTGCAGATCCTCTTCAAATGTCCCACGCCTGCCATCGTTTTTGGAAATGCTACAAAACCCTCACGTTTTGCTCACTTTTGACAAGGTGCACAATCCCTTGCGCCTGCCACGCAAAACGACATCTGAACGTCCAAAAGTGGCGCGTACATGTGGTGTTTTGAAGATTTTGACTTGGAAATGTGCTTCGCTCCACAACGTCGTGCACTTTTTCGACATCTCAATTTGCAAAAGTGGTCTGATCGTGGTGTGTTTTGTACATTTTGACTTCAAAATGTGCTTCGCGCCACAACGGCGTACACTTTTTCGACATCTCAACTTCCAAAAGTGCTCCGAACGTGAGGTGTTTTTAGCTTTTTCACTTGCACATGTGCTTTTTTTCATCTCTCACCTGATCACATGGCTCCGCACTCCTCGCTTTAGCGAGCCTACTTTTCAACCCCCCGGAGCCACAAATCATTGGAAAAACACAGTGTTTCGCGACTTTCCTACCTTTTCGCGCACCTGGATCTTCGTTCTTCGGAGACTTTCTCTTTTTGATCTTCTTTCTTCTTTTCTCTTCTCTGACTCTTCCCATCTCTGCTTTTCATCTGTCAATATATTGTCCGAAGTTTTGACTTCTAAACTTCGTTCGACAATATACTGCATATTATGCATATAATACATACGCAACATCTACGACATTAAAGTCGTATGACATGCCTCCGTGGTGAGCTGAAACAAGAGCTCAGTGGCCTGGCCAAGCTGGCGATGGATGGTATATGCCCCCAAATGGCTATTAATTCTAGGGAACATTATGATAAACCACTAGATACTAGTAAATAGATATAAATAGGGTACAGTAAAATATACGTTAGTATAATTTCAGAACCCACTTGGAGATCATCTGTGACATAAGGAGAGAACATCTATCACTGCACGATAGATTGGGTATAGTATAGTTCGACATATATATATATATATATGTATACATATGTATATATATATATAAATATGTATGCAATTGGAACAAAAATCATGATTGGATGTATTCATAATATATCACCTATGGAAATATCTAGATATAATTGGGATATGTCGTCATGGCTAGTGTAATTCCAACAACATTTTAGGGCTTAGGGGTGCCTGAGCATTCTGCATACACACCAATCGATATTTTTTTTGATAGGGCGACTGGTGATCAACCAGTCGATTTAAGATATTTAGGGGTATATACCATAGTTTCAAACAAATCTGTATTGCAAAATTCAAAAACAAGGGAATTTAACCACTTAATCAAAGACACTATATATACTGGTTGGTGGTTGCAACCCCTCTGAAAAATATTAGTCAGTTGGGATGATTATTCCCAATATGTGGAAAAATCAAAAATATTCCAAACCACCAACCAGCTATATATATATATATACATATTGTTACATATGTGTGTAAGTATATGTATACCAAGTAGAATTTGGATTTGGAATTTCTAACGAGTTGAATGTTGGTGGTTTGATCCCCTGCATGATTTTTGCAGCGAGAAATGGAGATTTCATAAGTTTGTCAAATTGGGAGAGAAGCCATGGGATTGACCCTCTGGTAATCTAATCTTCAGTGAATATGCATGACACACATATATACATATGGTCCAGCATTCCAACCCCCCTTCTCCCCCCGGCCATGGTCATGGGTCAGCCATAGTACTGTCCCCCTCCCCCCTGTGGTGTGGTGGGGGTGTGGTACTGTATGGATGGTAGGTAGGGTATGTAAGTCTGTTGGGTATGGCATGTTTGATATGACAGTATGTATGGTCTGTATGGTATGTATGGTTACAATGATGGGTGTGGAATGTTTGCTATGTAAGGTAGGTATGGTATGTATGGCATATATGTTTGGTATTGTATGTATGGGAGGTGTGGTAATTGTGTTTCATATGTATGGTATGTGTGGTATGCATGATAGGTATGGTAGGTTTGGTATGTATGATCAAAGTTCATATTGTATGTATGGTATGTATGGTATGTACGAGACCATATATATGCATGTAATTATGTATGTTCATATACATATATATATATAATATAAATCCAGAGGTTTGCCATTGCCAAAACTATTCGAGGGTAGCTTTGTGAGCACCCTCTGATACTCCAACCTCGCAACGACAACAGGAATTTTACGTTGAAAGCCAAGTTACCAATTGCACCCCCTTGTATGAGTCCCCTGAGCGGTTAAACATGGTAAAACTTGTGTGTGTATATACATATATATATATATACACACCTTCTGGAGCATCCTTGCAGTTTCAAATCCATCACCGAACACCTCAAGTGGATGAGCGAAAAACGACGGAAGAACTGGAAGGAAAAAACATGAAACCACCAGCCAAAGTCCTCACAAACGAGTGGAGCAGGGATCATCAGCCCATTTATGGAATGGACATTTCCAAGGCAACATATACTCAAAAACAGTACGCCACCAACATTTCCAT